GGGCATGGCTAAGTGACACTGGTGGCTAGCTAGTGGCCTGAAAGATTAATATAATTCCAAATACGTGTTTTTACTGATCACATAGTTCACTTGGAGCATCAGGATTATTACTGAGAAAAACACAAGTGAATGTTTAAGAAAGCCTGTGGGTTGGAAAGGGGTGAGGAAACTACTATTTAGAAATGCACAGAAGTCAAAGGGTAGCAGTCACTTGTGATCCAGGGCCTAAGTTCCCAGCCCACCTCCACTCTGCACCAGCTGTGTGTCCCCAGGAAAATCAACAAACCTCTCTGGGCTCTAGGTCCTTCTCTATCACAAGGGAGTGATGACACTCACCCCTACCTCCCATCTTGGGGTACTGGATGGGTTAACACCTGGAGCAGTCAAGTGCTTGATAAGTAAAAGTGCTATCATTTGAATTATTATTATTACTATTTTTTTGAGACAGAGTCTCACTCTATTGTCCCAGGCTACAGTAGCGTGGTGCCAGCCTATCTCACAACAACCTCAAACTCTGAGGCTCAAGCCATCCTCGTGCCTCAGCCTCTTGAGTAGCTGGGACTACAGGCACCCACTACAATATTCAGCTAGTTTTTCTATATTTAGTAAAGATGGGGTCTCATTCCTTCTCTGTCTGGTCTTAAACTCCTACCTGCCTCTTCCAAACTGCAAGGATTATAGGTGTGAGCTCCCAAACTATAACTTTAATTATTTCAATAATTCAGTACTTAGTGGTGGCCTACAGAATGCAATAAAAGTGCTATGTATTACTTCAATGAGAGCATCTTAGAAAAAATCTGATGCATAATTACATGGGAACATTTAATGTGTCAACCACAGCAGCTTAGCTTTCTAAAATACGATACAAGGTGGCCATAAGTTTGTGTGCAATTTAAAACTGCACATGAACTTTACAGCCACCTTGTCTGTTAGGGTGCTAGGTCTAAATGAAGGGTTTCCTGGCTTAAAAAGACAGAGAGCTACAAAATGAACAGATTCACTGATCTTGAGAGTGATATCTTAGAGGAAAGTGAGACCCCAAGAGGGCAGGATGGCTGGGAGCACCACTCAGAGCCAAGATGAAATCTACACCTCCTTATTCTTTGTCCTGGATTCTCTGTCCCCCAGCAGGAGCTTCTAGGTGCACCTGGGATTAATGCCACCACATCTCCCCAGCATCCCTGCCTAGATGCAGAACAAAAAATTTTAACCCGTGGGCCGTCCGGGGAGTGGAGCTGTGTACCCAGTTCAATTTATTCCTGCTCAGAGCAGTCTGCAGTGGGCAGCATTAGTTTATGAAACGAAGCAGCAGCCTGCAGGACAGAACACAGTCTGTGCCACTCAAATGCCCAGGTGGGTGAGTTTACCCAGGGCACGCCCGGCACCACTCAGCTCCTTGCAGCAACTACAAACACAAGTTGGAGATATTCCTCTTTCAATCACTGCATGATGTACCTCTAAGAAAAGGGGAAACTTTACACAAAGGCAAAATATATTAAAAGAGGATGTGTTATAAATTAACAGGAAGAGCAAAACCACAACAAACAAACAAAACCTAAACACATCCTTTCGATTTATTAAGGGGAAGCAGAATTCAAAGCGGTCACGATGTTATTTTGAGGTTGAAAATAAATAAGCATCTGTAGATCGAGGGGATGTACTTTAAGCCAATACTCACTTTGTCTACACCAGCACTCAAAATATAATTCCCCTTTTTGTTCCATTTCAAGGCAAAGATGGGGCCTTTATGTTGGCCTAAGGTGCTGGCCAGGTTACCTGTTAGTAAAAATAAAAAATTGAACAAATGTGTTGACTTCCAAGTTGTGGACAGTTCACTGCAAGGGTGATGTACAGAAGTACTTCCTGCCCAGGACTTACCATCTTCCGTCCATATTCTTGCAAAACCGTCATATGAACCTGTAGCCAGTAGTGTTCCATCGCTCTGAGGGCCAGAAAAAAAACACAAAGCCACAAACGCAGGTCAGTGTTGGCAGCAGAATCCCAGGCCTGCCCAGAATATTCTCAGCTCACTCCTAAGTGCCACGTTTGAGAGACTAATCCTTCGTGTGTGAAGCTGAGGAGCCACCGCACACACAAGTGTGTGCACACATGTACACAGGGCCTGCAGCATAACACAAGGCAGCCGTGACAGCAGGGGACCCATCACCGCGGTGTGCGCTCCAATTAATGGCAGAATTAAAAATACTATGCAGAAGCTATCTTAAGGCTTTCCAGAAAGTAAAACAAAGTTGACCTGTGGGTGTTCCATGCGTCAATGCAGGTGACACCAGTGCTGAGTATCATGGCAGACACACACGCCCTCAGCTGCCCC